ACGTTATTAAGGATGTAAATAGATAATTTAGCACAAAATTATGTACTACTGACTAATTAAGATGAGTAGTTGCATACCGCTCATATCAACTATAGGCCAAGTTAAACTTAAGGCACCACTAACTACCAGTAGAGTGCGACCGCACCAATGACCTTGAAGTGCTCATTGAACAAGCTAGTGAAACCTGGCAAATAATATTATTATCATCAATAAAATATCCTCATCGAAGTGTTATGCTATTAAATGGAATATCTGGCAAGTTTTAGCTTAGGTTTTCTGGGAAAGATTAAGTTACGCTTGTAGCCAAGGATAAGTTAGAGTTAGGTTAATCTAACAAAGGCGAAATTAGGTTTGGTTCGAGTTAGATTACAGTTAGTTTAGGGATGTTTTACGTTAGGATTAGGTTCAGGAAAGATTAGGGTTGTTTTTAGGGTTAGAAGACCCAAATAATTGCATGCGTAGAATGTGGCTAAATTACTCTGTTGACATAAGAATAGAACTTCTGCACTGTGGTATAGTTTAATTCCATTGTGGGTAAAATTTATTCTCATAAAGTCTCACAGTCTTATACAGTAGTATTATTTACTGATAACGTTTCAAACACAATCTACTGCTCAGTAAATATTACTGTATAACACTATGAAACTATATAAAAATAAATTTTATCCACAGTGGAATTATACTCTGTTAATAGTGTTATTAGAAGACGGAGACTGTCTGAAAAATGTGATGTATTAGCGCTATACATTTCGAACAATCTGATCACACATTTACTTGTCAAGTCAATACTTATAGAAAGGTTAAATTAAACAAAGTGAGAGAAAACGGAATTAAGAATAATTAACACAAACGTTTGGTAATCCAATCAAATAAGGATTACCAAGGTAGGTTAAGAGTAATGACAAACTGTTTTTGAATACACATGGGGGGGGGGCTTAAGTCTATGAATAGCTATAGCCTCAGCGTATTTCAGTAAACGCCCTTGACCGTTTTTATAGATGACCTTAAAGGCTGAGTTAACATCAATCTTATGGTTCATCTCGATTAGATGTTTAGCTATAGACGAATTTGGTAGTCTGCCACCTGCATCTATTAGCTTGTCACAATTCATCTGTTTTTCTAACCATTTTGGGATGTGCTCTCCCACCCTCACGTGCAAAGCGCGATTACTCCTCCCTATGTATGTATGTCCACATACACAAAATGGTTAGAAAAACAGATGAATTGTGACAAGCTAATAGATGCAGGTGGCAGACTACCAAATTCGTCTATAGCTAAACATCTAATCGAGATGAACCATAAGATTGATGTTAACTCAGCCTTTAAGGTCATCTATAAAAACGGTCAAGGGCGTTTACTGAAATACGCTGAGGCTATAGCTATTCATAGACTTAAGCCCCCCCCCCATGTGTATTCAAAAACAGTTTGTCATTACTCTTAACCTACCTTGGTAATCCTTATTTGATTGGATTACCAAACGTTTGTGTTAATTATTCTTAATTCCGTTTTCTCTCACTTTGTTTAATTTAACCTTTCTATAAATATTGACTTGACAAGTAAATGTGTGATCAGATTGTTCGAAATGTATAGCGCTAATACATCACATTTTTCAGACAGTCTCCGTCTTCTAATAACACTATCAAAATTTATAAAAGGGACTAATTGTTTTAAACTCTGTTGATACGCCAACCTAAAATTGAGAATTATTTTTATCCCATGTGAGAGGATGCTTTTCTCTGTAACACTTTTATACAGTTTTTTATGCAATTTTTTCATAAATGTATATGTATTCCATACACAAAAATACCTCCTTTATATGATTGTTGCATTTGAGGCCATTTGCTGATTGGTAGTTAGTTAGTGGTGCTTAACGTTTAAATTTGCCCAACTATATCCCATATTGTGACCTGAGTAACTTCGTTTTCAATGAAAATTACAGTGAAATTTCACCACTGGAACTATAAAGATTGCAGATTGTGAATTTGATTTTAGGTAAATTAGGTTATAATGAACAAAGAAGTAATTAGAAAAGACTGGGATGTCTTAAAGTGATGAAAGTAACCAATCAACAACGACAACAAGCACCAACCACTATCAACTGGAAAACTTTGAAAGAAATCGCTTTCTTCACTTATCCAGGGAGCATCTTTTCAATTACAGGCGGTGGGACGTAAACAACGAAATTCGGATTTTTAACACGAATGTTTAGTCAGTGACTTCTTCTCTATAGGTCAGAAACTTGGCCAGAGACTCGCGAAAAGCATTTCCAACAGGCTTCTGCAGACGTTCATTAATAGCTGCCTACTTCGCTGGCTCCATAATGAAGATCGAATGGCCAGCCAGAGTGAATTAGCAGTAGGGAACTCTATGGTGAACAAATCGATCAAGAACCTATTGCTCAATAAATACCACGGAGTTAATGGAGATGGATTGGATACACTCTGAAGATAACTTTGGATGACATCACTCACCTGGCCATCGCCCAAAATGAACTCGAATGGGAAACGACGTATGGGTCTAAGGGTGAAATGAAGATCGTCACGTGAGAAGGTGGGAACAGCTTAAGGGAATTGATGAGGACCGATGAAGAGGACTGTGGAGAACAGGGTAAAGTGGAGATGTTCTGTTAAAGCTGTGTATTCCACTCGAAACCCAGAAGAATTAAAATAACAATAAGTGTTGAGCTAAATGAAAAAGTTATCGAAAAGAGTATTCTTTGCTCAGTCATCTTTTTCTTCTAAATATTAAGTCTTCAAACAATTGATTTATAAGGACCTGGTTGAATTTAAAGTACACTTCGTGACAAAAAGACAGCACTTAGAGAACGAATGAAAAACAACGGACACTTGACAACTGCTGAGCCGTTCCAGCTCCTAGGTAGGCCTTATCCAACAAATATCCAACGGACTGACTCAGAGACCATCAAACTAATAATCTCCAAAGCACAGAAAAGATAAACTCATCCCATTACTATTAATTATTCCAAACTATTATTTCATGACAAAAATGTTCGTCTTTCACAATATTTTTTTGCATTCCTTGTATCCTGAGCAGAATATAAGGCCTCATGCTTTGAAATTTTAGCAGTTTCACAGCCCTTCTAATCCCTTGAAACCTTCATGTACTCCGTTATTCTTTCACCTCTATATTTTCACGTTTTTTCAAAATAATTCTAGCACTACATATGTTCAGCTGAAGAGTTCTAAAAATAACTTGTATGAATTTACCGAAACTTAATTAACGTACTTTATAAGCCGAAGCGATGTGAGTAAAGGAGCCACTGATGACCATGAAGTGTTGATTATATCTTTTGTTTTAGTTAAGGACTTTTCAATGGTATTCACCACAGACCCCTAAGGGTTTAGCTCGAGAGGTGAACTCATTGGATTATTCCGACATTACGACGTAATCCATCGGCTGAGAAACTCCAACTTCTGTCAGTCCATAGTATATAGTGCCACCGCTAGCTAATATCACAAGTTCCCTCTTCAGCTCGATCGTGTGTGTACATGTTGCTGAACTGTCCCAAAACGGGATAATACAAATAACCAGTTTTTACCGCACCTCGTCTGGAATATTCTGATTGGTTCTCAGGTATTTCCTACAGTTGGATTTCGGTTAACAGATTTTGTTCTACAGTGCTTATTTTGTACTTAGAATGTTCTCTAGACTGTACAGCGACACGACTGAGGTAAATTTAATAATAATAATAATGGTAAAGCTTTATGTAAGACAGTTTGCGAATATACGGTACAAAGCTTTTCAGCGTATTCAGTTCCAAAGTACTTTTTTCTTCACACAGGATTCACATGTAAAGTAATATTCTGAATTATATCTTCATTTGGTTGAAGAATTGTGCAGCGTTCACTTGGGAGCAAGTTAAATCATCGCGCAAGTTTATGTATAGGTCATTTGATATAAGTGGACGATTAAAACAATGATAAATCCAGATGAAATTAAGCATTTTGGAGGAAAGTAATTTCGGTAGCCCAATGATTTAAGCAGGCCACCTAGGTGAGTTTTTGATGTTATTATTGATGTTGAATAGATCCACATATTGATCCCAACCAATAATAACCGTCTTTTTGCCTTCTTTGCAGCGTTTTGTGACTGTATGTGTCTGCAGGAAGTTTTGAACAGCTATACAGCAGCAGGTGGAGATGTTTTTCGTGGCCTCAGACCACGAGTCAATTTTAGTCCTTACAGAATCACTCACATCAAAACATTTGACCTGCTTGACATCATGAATGGTATTTGAGAAATTAAGAATAAACGCACGAAGCTATATACTTCTGGCTGACAGATATGAGTGATCGGAAACTATTCACATCAATCAGTAAGGATTACTAGCCAGATCAGAATAGTTTAAATAAACTACTAAGCGGCGCTTTCTCCCGCTTGAGATTGAGCTCATCGTAATTCCAGTATCTTACATATTTGATTAATCTGTTCTTATTGTAACCCAACTTCACTGATTTTGCCTTGAAGATTGAATTTCTATAAAACCTTTTGTATGGATTACAGTATCTTCTATCCTAATGCTTCATTCAATCAACCCCACTAATAGTGACTTTTTACAGGTTTGATCACAAGTTGAAATTAGCGAAATAACTATTTAGAAGTACTATTTGGAGTACTGGACAGCTATTTCGTCCTAGCTTGAGACTCATCGGGAGTGCGCATCCACTGCCGTGGATCAAACCCAGGACCTTCTGGTTACAAGGCGAGATCGTAGACTATCCAGCCACTGGGATCAGATCCAATGACCCAGTCGCTGTGAGCTCGCCTTGTTAGCGGAGGGTTCTAGGTGGATATGTACCACTGAAAATTCTCAAACCAGGATGAAACGGATGTCCACTATTCCATGCTGGCTTTGTAATGGTTCTCTAACTGCTGTTGACTCATGATCCAACCTGCAAACTAACACTCAATAGTAACGATTTTCCAAGATATCGAGATATAAGTTTTCAAGAAAAAAGAGGAAAAATAACACTTAAGCATAAATTATAAACAATATATTCAAATAAAATAATTTATTAGAAATTCCACACACAAATAGATCAGTGAAATCACAGGCTGATATTGTCATTCAACGTCAATTATGCCTTTTTAGATCCCTTCTGTGCTTGTTTACCCTTCTTTGCAGGTTCAGGTAATTCCTTACAATCTCTGAAAAGTATAAAGAGAAAGACGGGTGGAAATATAGGCAAGATGTGTATCACATGTGTAAAGTAATCCGCTACAATTGGGATGATATATAAGCGATGGATGGTGATAAATATGTCACTATATATATATATATATATATATATATATATATATATAGTGTAAACAAAAGACTATATACTTTTGTGTACTTACTCAGTCATTGTTCGAAAACCTTTTTTATCAGCAGCCTCTTTTGCATTTGGTCTTGAGAAATCAAGCTTGGTTAAACAAAATTGATCTTTATGAGTAAGCATCAATTTGTCATCAAGAGAAAATTTCTCTGTTACATCTGTGAGAATCATTTCACCTAAATGAGAGAAAGAGAGACAAAGACCAGTAAAAGAGAAAAGTATGAGTTAACTGAATTCTACTTCTTTTTATCCTTCACGTTCCCCAGTGGAACATAGGGCTGCTTCAAGCTAGTGGCTTGAAGTTTCTGTAGCAGCGGTGTTTATTTTTACAGGATGGGGTTGCCAGCCAGCCTCATGCCCAACCTTTCTACTTTACCAGCATTATTTCTGGCTCAACGAGGTGGTTCGACCAGGGATCGAACCCCGGACCATGTGCATGGCCGGCGAGCGGCCTAACCGCTGTGTCACCGACGCTGAATCACCACGTCGTGTGTTATGCATGTGAAGGTTGTAGCATCGCATATGTAGGCTTAGTAATGCGTTAACATTCTCCTAAATAAAGAAAACGATATAATCTACCGAGTACTATGTAACTGATGACTGTATGGTCAGTTATGTAGGTAAAACTAGCAGGTCGAAGTGAATTAGATTATTGGACATATTAATTTACCTCCTAAATTTGGAATTTAAAAGTGGCTCTAAGGCGGAAATTCTCTGAAAACGCCTTTCAGGATCTCTTAGGAAAACATACTTCTCCCAAAAAACTAGTCAACCAGGCTGTCACATTAACAGACACATCAACACACATACATCAATTCACCTGCTCAGGTAGAGTTGAGTACATTCATCAACTGTACCGAGCGTCCACTTGTAGAAAACGCTCCGGATCACCATCTGGTATGGTTGCCTAGTAAACGGAGAATGTAAGCATATATACAGTCGCATAACAGAACATCTGGTGGACTCGAGATGCATGAGCTTATTTGAAATTATTCTTCAAAGTCCTATACAATATCCCATCAAACAACTCAAATAAGAGTCAATCTAAGAGATATGAACACAGCTGAAGCACTAGCAGTCCAATGACTCAATCGAGAAGAAGTATACCCAACCTTCGCCTTTACTACTGTCAGCATAAACAGTCAAGCAGATCCGTAAATATTATTCGGCTGTTTTCTATCCAAACGTTTTCTTTATTTTGATTATTGTTGCTGTTTTAATCCCCATTTATGACCTTGTTGTTCCTTCATAATTTGACCTTTGACTGGAACTTTCTTTCCTATTTCCTGTATACACACGTCTGTATCAAAGATAGGCATAGACACATCACACTAGTTAATGACTAATGTCCAATCGAAAATACCCAATACAGTACCACAGTAGTTCGATCGCGTGCTCGAATAGCTCAATGGTAACGTCTCTGACTGAAGCATTCACTGGGTGACATGGGTTCGAATCTCACAAGGGACATGAGTTACATCAAGATGGTTGCAGATACACCTTGCGCTGACTGGTGAGTGCCAACTAGCCCGAAACCTAGGTGAGGCAAAACTTCTTGTGGCCGAGTGCCTACGACCATCTAGTACCAGCGCACAGCTGAGTGAATGACTCCGTCGAAAAAAAAGATTTTCCTAGCATCAATCGTCTTTTCAATTTTTCTCATGAACTCATATGTATATTCTACAATTTAGCTAAAGCTAGAACGATTAGTCCAGCTAAGTTAAATGGTCTAAATAAAACAAACTCAGCTACCGAAATGTATTCACTTCAATGTAATTACACATTAGAGTAAAAGAGGGCGTAAGTATTAATAAGTAGTATAGTTAGGTGGAAAGATAGATTAATCACCGAACCTTCATTCGTCGAATCAACACCGAACATATGCAGTCAAAATGATACAATGCCTGTTGTTGATATATGGAAAGTTGTAATGAATAAGAGAGGGAGTAAAAAATATGTATGAAGTAAGTGATGAGGCCACGTGAATACACAGATATGATTATGAGTAATAATTCTGCTCAAAATGTCATCTAGTTATTAATACTGTATCACTGTGAGTTTTATCAAATAATCTCATCTAATATGGAATACGACAGTGTACAAATCCTACACCAACAACATCTTCTTCTTGAATTAAATTCAGTGGATGGTGACTAGCAGTGTAATCCACCAGGATGCAAATTTCATCCTATTTAGGACTCGTCATCTGGGTGTGTCTGCATTCCCTAGTGAGTTATACTGTTCCCACTGGAGCTCGAACCCAGTACTCATAGTTTCAAACGCCAGCGTTTTATCCACTAGACCGTTTTTGCTAAGGAAGCTACCTCTTCGATCCAATCAATCAATAAGAAAATTCAGATGAAATTTAATGGTATCTTCTTCTTCCAAAGATTAGAATAGACACTTACTAATAAATATATTTTACACACTACATTCCACCCATTAGAACTACAAGTTAACGATATTATTATTGTTCCCTTGGGTTCCTGGTGGAGCATAGGGCTTCAACTCCACGTCTCCACTTTCTTATGTCTTCTGCTGTACTTTTCGCCTGCATCCATGTTAGTCCATACTGTGTTTCGACTCCTCTTCACACGATCTCCTCCATGTCATCCTTGCACTGACGTCCCACTCACCACTTCCCTTTCAGCTTCCACTCGAGCAGTGGCCTAACGCGCGCGCGATGTCACCCAGTGGCCTCCTCAGCTAGTGTCCAATCCATCTCCACTTTCTCCTGCATATTTGTTGGTTTGCGATTGGTTCTTGTTTTTTTTATTTGTTCCCATAGTTTCTTGTTGTTGATTCTTTCCGGCCGTCTGATCTTCAGTATGGAGTGAAGGCAGTTGTTGATGGAGGTCTGCAACAGGTTGTTGGAAATATTCTGTGTGACCCGCCTGCCAAGTTTCTGATCCGTATAGAAGAACCAACTTGACGTGTTTATATTGAAAATCCGAATTTTGTTGTTGACACTGAGTGACAAAGATTTCCAGATTGGTTTCAGGTTGATGAATGTGTTTCTCGCCTTCCCGATTCTCGATTCGACATCGTCGTTCGTTCCTCCTGTATTTGAGACAATGCTCCCTAGAATGATGTGAATGAAGTAACCTCTTTCAAAGCCCTCCCGTTGATGGTGATTGGAGATAGCTGGTCACTAATTTTAATTTAGTAGATATTCCTATCAGAGAAGTACAGTTTTATTCGACTATACTGCATTCCACACCTAAATTGACTTCAGTATTCAAGTTTAAGTACGAACTGACGTCAGTTAATGAACCATTGAAAACAACCACGGAGAGCGCTGGATAACTGTTGTTTGAAACGTCCCTTGAAGTTCTGGTAACAAGTTGTGACCGATGGGGTACACCAGCAGGTCGTAAGTGATGACAAATACTCACCGCAGATGACAACGGCCACCCCTAGTCACTCAAAAATCGCCAATGGATAGAAACTGTAATTCACGGGATAGTTACTCAATCGGGTCCCAGCGAATGGACGGTCTACAAGCCTGACTTGTAACCGAAAATTCCTGGGTTCGAGCCCCAAACTAGGACAAAATAGCTGTTCAGTATTCCCTGCCGGTTTTCAGTGGTACTCTAACTGGCATTAATCCATGGTCAAACATGAAATAAATCCCTATAAACTAATTGCTGAAAGTAAATAATACTGATGTAAGGAAATGGTTGATCGGCTTTACTACTTGCCTTTCAGCCAATGGATCCAGCGTTTGAATTGCACGCAACTCCCCTCCAACTGGATGGCTGAGTATTCCTACCGGTCAGACATGCTGTTAAATTGATCACCCAACTACTCTTCAATCTTCAGATTTTCTAAGTCTCCATATTTACAGAAATGAAAATATACATTACACGACATCATAAATACATTGTATAGGCATTCAGTTACTTGGCTACTACTCACCTCTGGAATTGATCACAAATGGAAGTTTAATGACATCAATTTGCTTAGCGCTTGATAGTTCACTTGATACGACGACGAAGAGGAAAATTATTGATTTCAGCATGTTAAAGGGTTTCTTCGTCTCTACGTGGATAAATCACAGATCAGGTGGTAAAAATATAGACATTCAAAGCAACATTAATAATACTATAATAAGCTAAATGGAATGTATATCTCACCTAAGTGTGTTTAAGAATTACTTTTTTAATCATGTGTCCTTGCTATTTATATGAAATTACTATTGTAATATTGAATCGGCTATTGACAGCATAACTGTCAATCAATGTCATTAGGATAAGTTATATGCATATTAATGTGTATTCCTCTTTTGATAAGGTCAAACTTGTCAATATCAGCATTCAAATGCCTTCAAAATGGTGACTTTTCAATGTATTCAACTGAGAGTTTACATTGTATGAAATTTACCTGTTTTAACACCTTTAAAGCATTTCTTTTGAAAACGAAATATAATATGTATGGTGTTATAACAAAATTCTCAATATTTCTGCCTTACTACGAACACCAAATCAACACTGGTCATTCCATATCAATAAAGGCCTGCTTCAAATACACTTTTCTCTTCACTACGTATTGTTGAAGCCTTAACCATTCAGTTAGAATAATCGAGACAATGTATGATTTCGTGTTTACGTGTATCCTGATCACAGCTCATTCATTAAATTATTCATGTTATTACGTAACTCTAACACACTTAATCAGTTCCTTTTTTCTCACTGAATAAGATTAACAACTATGTGTCAACAACCTATAACTTTTGATACTACCCTCTTTTATGGAACAAAAAATAATAACTTGAAAATCCCTATTAGGTCATATGAAAAATTAAAGATGTTCAACGAAGAGACTCTTTTCGCTGGCGAATTCATTCACATAGCTGTACAATCGTATTTATATATAATTATTTGTGTGTGTCTGTGTGTACATAAGGTTTGTCAAGTTTAGATAATTGATCAGGTAATACAAGAATGATCTAATATAGAAACAAGGTTAATCAGACAGCAACTAAAGTAAGATTGCGTTGGTAAGTTAGATGAAGTAATATAATTAACTAAAATGCTTCAACTTAGGTCAGGATAGCAACAGAGGTAGTTACAGGTAGCGAATAAGTAGAAGTGGGGTAGTAAATAATACATAGCTGACCATGCACATGGTCCGGGGTTCAATTCCCGGCCGACGCTAGGCAAGAAATATTGCCAGTAAATAGTTAAGGTTAGGCATGAGGCTGACTGGCAACCCCATCCTGTAAAATAAACACTGCTACAGAAACTTCAGGCCACTAACTTGAAGTCCTATGTTCCACTGGGGGAACGTGAGAAGAAAGTTAGAACTGAAACTGAGCAAATAAGTTGGATGACGTAACATAAATGACTAGAAATTGAGCGTTGGTCAAGTCAGTAACAGTGGTAGTGAAGTGTAGAAATTAAATCGGGTGGGGTTAGAGAACAAGAAGTTTGAAAATATAAAATATTACAATTGAGAAGACAAAATAATACTAATGAAGAGACAGAAAAAAAGGTTAGGTAGAATTTACTTGTCGGGTAGTAAGATAGATTATGTCCATTGCAAGTGTGGTGATTAAATGAACTTCTTCTGTATACAGAGTTCAGGACTTAGCAAGTGAATCACCATTGCTTCTACAGTTTGAAGAAGTTTGATTCGTACACCTTTAGGAAGACTACTTCTTACTCTGTAGACGACTTTGAAGTTTGTTTGGAGTGTAGCTTGGTGTCCGGATTCTATCAGATGTCCTAAAATGAAGCTGCGAGGACATCGTTTTTCTCTTTTGTAAAACCATGTTTGCAAGTGTTCGGTGATACGCTTGGAAAGCGAACGCTGGGTACGGCTGACATAAGTGGCTCCGCACGAGCAGGTGATGAGGCCAGCAGTAGCTTATCCTTCACGTTCACATGAATGATAGATTTCGTGGAGAAGGTTAGTCGTAATTCAGCTGCGAAGAAGGTCTTCTTAAGTTAGCGCCACAGTCGATTTTTTAGTGTTTCCGTAGATATATCTCCATTGAATTGAAGTTTCACGTTGAGTAGTTTTTTTCGGGACGGTAAGCCTGGGCGGCTTTTGCAGTCTAGGATTCATAGATTTTGCAATAAATCTTTCTGAATAACAATTCTCGACGAGGGTTCTCTCGAGATTGTTCAGTTCATCTTCTATGGTGTCCGGGGTGCAAATTCTGCGAACTCTGTAGTTGAGTGAACGGATCAGGTTTCGTTTGGTGTATAGGAGTACCCAACTGCGAAAGTTAGTAAGCCCTCCGTTCTACGTCGACTTTCTGTAGATAGGTCTTTTCAGTGTTTAATCCTGTTCTCGTCTCCTTAGTTGGACGTCAAGAAAGAATATTTTAGAGTTAGACTCTTTCTCCAGTGTGAACTAAACCGCGGGGTGGTAGTTGTTAAATGACTTCAAGATGTCGCCTAGATTTTCTTCATTGTTGACGATAATGAAAGTGTCGTCGACGTATCTCTTATAGATTTCAAAGGTATCGATCATTTTCTTCAGGCATGTGTTTTCAAGTTTTGCCATGAAGATGATATATAAATGAGATTGTACAGCTAGACAGAAAAGTGAACTCGCCGAAAACAGCCTGTTTGTTGAACTAATTGTTTTGTTTTCTACACTTCAGCCTCCTTTTTTCATTCTATGCGTTCTGAGCGTTTCATGCCTTGAAGGTGTATTAGTTAGTGGCAGGGTTGATTTTCCGGCAAAGACTGGCTAACTGGAACCCGATCTTCTCCCTTTGCTAGACCTTCTGCTGGCCAGACGAACGTGAGGAGTGTGTCAGGTGGCTTGTCCAACACGAAGCTCCTGTGCGAGTGGTGAACACTCTACCATTGAACTGTCAGTGCGTTTTAGCCTCATAGACTAACTATATTCTCAGTCATGTCATATATGCATCTTCAAGGGTTAATGCAGTTGATATAAGAATCGAATTTGAACACAGTGGTAGGGCAGAACTCCATCATTGTAATACAGTAACTAGTTTATATACTTGTGATATTTTGAGCACAGTTCACTGCCAATAATCCTATCAAGGTGATAATCTGATTGATTCTGCTCGAAACGTCATTAATAAATCAATTTTACTATAAATAAGGATTAAAATCCAAAAAATAAACAAGAAGACTGGATTAAAACACAAGAGAATAAAAGATAAGAAAGGTAATAGGATGATCAGCAGTGGCAGAATTGACTTTATATTATGGCCATGATGAGGACATAGGTTGGATGTACTTCTTCTGAATGCTTAGAGTTGGCTTGAGTTATCAGACTGCATAATTCTTCATCTATGTCGAGATCTCTTGGAATGACTCTCATTTGAGGTGTTTGATCAGAAATAGGCTCAAGCATCTTCAGTCGACCGGATGTCCTGTTACATAACTCTATACAGACTTACTTTCTCCGTCTGCTAAGTGACCAAACTGGATAGTGTTCTGCAGTGTGTTTTATAAGTGGATGCAAACTATGACCGATGAATATACTCAGCTCTTTAGGAGGAAGTGAACTGATGTATGTGTGTTGATATGTGAGCCAATGTGACAGATTGTGCTTTACTTAGCTTGTTAAATAGCTTTTTTTGAGAGAAAATGTCACTTGTAGGCTGGAGACGAAGTATCTGTTTTACTGTATGTTTTAATACAAATACACAAATGTACAGCCTAGTTGATGAATTCGTCAAAAGGAAAATTTTCTTCACTGCAACTGTTTTTTCTTTAAATATTTCTTATGTTCAATTGTGTATATTCCGGAATTTTACTGATTTTGAAGTTATTCTGTTCAATTTTATAGAAGTGTACGGGTGGTTAATTGTAATAAGCAATAATGAGTTTAGGCTTAATGTACTCAGTAGAGGGTGGGTGAAAACCAATTGATGCGTTTGAGATGTTCCACAGGCTAAGATGATTGTGACAGTATTATATGCATACTGAACTATCTATGATATCTGACATACGATTACTTCGAGGATGTTCAAATCAGTGCGTGACAACAATCTATTATATTAAATATTCCCATAGTAAAATTTAGAACAACACATTTAAGCGAACAATATTGTTTTCAATTAGATCTCATCAGGCTTAACTCTAATATATATAAGTTTACAAATAAAAATTCATATATAAACCAATCATGGTGTTTTGTCTATAGGATAATACGATGGTGAATATAAGTTGTGCAGTTAGTCATAATAGTGGTAATGATAATATTAATAATAGTAATAATAATAATAATAATAATAATAATAATAATGGTCTTATCAATAATAAGGATGAAAAAATGAGGCAATCTGTGATAACACGAATAATGAAAAACAGTATGATTAAACAAACAATTGTTCAGGTGGAAGTAGTCGATAAAGGCTAGTAAAAACAAATTAACCGATTACGTAATGTTAGATTGTAGGGGAAGGAAATGAAACACGTTTATAATGAATATAAGATAAGATTAAGGGATGATAAGAAAGGGGTTGGAAATATAAATAAAGGGGTGGGGGTAGAAGTCTTTCGTTGGTTATGTCTTATTAGGCCATGGGAGGGATAATGGCTGCACGAACTTCCTTTGAATGCATAGTTTAGGTTCAATAGTTCGAATGCCTATCGCCTCAGCTGTGTGCAGTAGACGAATACGAAGTCTATTAGAAAGATTCGGAGGGATACGATGAATTACTTTGAAGGCTTTCGTTTTATCGACTACATGACCACTATCAATTAGATGTGACAGAATTGAGCTTCAGATTGTTTTTGTCTGTCCTTTGCCAAACCACGATGGGAGATGTTCACTAACACGTTGGCTAAGCTGTCTAGTAGTACGCCCAATATAACTGTCACCGCAGGTGCAGTTGAACTGATAAATACACATAGATGTGGCAAAACTATCAAGCTTATCCTTCGTTTGCGTCCCAATCATTCGTCGGCTAGAGAATGACAAACATAGGTGTGCTGCGTAAAATGCTCTACGTACGCTCCTTGAAAGTCTTTGGAATAGAATCTCACTAGATAAGTCCCCATTAAATTGTAACTTTATAAAGAGAGGTTTCTTATGTGCAGTCAGAGTCACAGGTTTCTTCTCTGATGGTTTCATATGTTTCTTTATGAAACTACTCAGATAACCCATCTCCGTCAAGGAATCGTGAATATATTAGAATCTATTTGAATC